CTGTCACATGGCTCCTTGTTTTTGCCCCGGATCACATCCCTTAGGCTTCACAAACATTTACATATATATCCTTTCTCTATAAAAAAACAACAACAAATGTTTCTCTGCTTGTATTGTTCTCCTGTAGTACATGCGCACCAATATTCCTGATGTGTTTTGTGCGGGCGACCTGACCTCCTTCCCACTGGCGATAGCCGAAAACCGTCCGGTCAGCATCGGACACTGGCAGATGGCACAGGCACATGGTAAGGAGCTATCCCTTCACCCAGGGGCAGCAGTACATGCTTTTACATTTTTATTTAACAATCAAACATGCATTAAATATGTGTTTGTTTTTCCTTTTGTAATTTTTATTTAATTTCAAACTAACTTTTTTCCCCATGTTTTTTTCTAAGGGAGGGTAGCAGCTCTAAATATGTTGGGCAAGACAACAGAAATGAAATCAGTTCCTTACTACTGGACCGTCCTACTGGGTAAAACCATCAGATATACAGGTAACCATACACAGAAACACAAGCAGGTACGTACTTGTGCATTTCTTTGTAGTTTGATAGATAGCACTTCCTTAAGCCAATTAATGGGAAAATGCCATTAATTTGCGCATTGTTCTCCATTAAAGAGATGAACAGTTGTATTTAAAAAAATACTCTCAAGATTGATATTTATGATGGAAATCACAAAGTACATGCCAATAATATTTTAAAGCTTTATTGAAGTTTCAAAATGAAATAATGGCCAAAAGAGCTATCAGTGAAAACATTAAGTTGAAATGTTCTAACATAGACCTGTAGGCCTGCGTACTTACTGACACATGGAGAAATAACATTCAGAGAAAATAAAATTCCAAAACAAATAAAACTCCAGTGCAAAGTTGGTCAATGCTCAGAATATGGAGGTAAAACACTCTAAAGCTCAGATGCTCGAGGTGCACAAAGAAAAGAATATTGTGAGTATTTGGACACACCACAGAATTTGTGGCCGCACAATTTACTTCCAAGTGTGATAGCATGTAGAATAAGGCAGAGGGGGGTTGTGGCGTCTTCCTGGTTACCCTGAAGAGGAATGTGAGCTGCACAGCAGACTAACATAAGTTTCCCTTTTCACCTAAAGGCAGGGATGCTGCAGAGTCCTCAGGAGAAGGCTAAGCCAGTTAGCATAGTTGGCTAACTACACAACAGTTTCCTTTGTATGTGCTGCAGTCTAATAAAGCCAAGGATGTACAACAGAATATTGTGATATAGGGATATCTAGCTTGTCAAAAATTTTCCAAATGAGTGAGGTAAACACATATCATGGATATACACCACCTTAAAGAGAGCCAAAAAGGTTGCCTCCTAATGGAATACCGGACACTTGATGGCAGCTGAAAGATCTCCATCATCTTGCACAGCCGTCTTGGGGGTATCCGGATCACTGGTTCTCTTCTCTCACAGAGTTGGGGAGATGGGAGCGACTAATGTAAAACCACAGGGAAGGTTCTGGCCATCTATATGTCAATGCATATCCTTCTTTTTTTATTTAATTTGACGGCAACTTCAATACTTCCCCTGGAGACCTCTCAAGACAGTTTTATTACAGAGTGCTCGGTTGAAAAGCTCGTGTTACAACAGTTAGGACACTGCTTTCCTCTGGTCAGACAAACAAAATCAGAGTTTGCACTCCCAAACCATGTTACCTATGAGAAGAACAAACTTGAAACAATATCTAAAGCATTATACATTGCCCTGTGAACCCCAAATGAATGCTGAGTTAAGCCACTCTGAGGAGCTTTCATCCACATAATTTTGGTTACCAAGACAGCACATCATCAGATGTTGGAAATTAATACCATGCAAATTTAATGTATTTATTCCTCCTCTGATATCCAAATGAATACTGGCAATTTTGCCACGTAAAAAAGTTCCGATATCTTGTTGCTTTGTAACTGGTGTTAAATGTGAGTCATGTTTCCGTTGTTGCTGTGATGCAGGTTATGGGGAGGGGTACACTGATGTAGTAATGAAAGGAAGTGTGCAAGACTACAAGTTCCTGGCCTTATACATCAAGTAAGATGCAAAGAACATCTGCTGTTTCAGACAACCGCAATGTTGATCCTGAAAACAATAGTTTTGTGTGTGTCTGTGTGTTTTTACATGAAGGAATGACGAGGTGATTGCGGCAGCGGGCCTCGACTTCGATCCAGCCGTGTCTGCAGTGGCTGAAAGGCTCTTTTTAGGAAAAGTCATCACAGTGAAAGAGGCTAAGTACGTAAAATCATTCACAGGTTCTACTCATTCTTTCTTTTCTTTAGCCATCTGTATCCAAGTGAACAATGAATGACTTCATGCAAAGTGATTTAAATTACGGAAAACAATCTGATAGGAAAAATAAACTTACCATTTGATTGTGATCAGAGGGAGGAAAAATCCTGCCAAAAGCTAAATTACGGTTCCTGCATTCACTTAGACACAGGCTGCTGTGATATTTTAGAATGGTTTGCATCAGTCAGCTCTTCCTGATGATAAATACAAGTTTTATGCTTCGTGTCTGTCTTCAATTCCATGTGGCTTTTTAAAAAATTATATGGTACCAATTGACTTTTTTTCCCCTTTTCTCTGACAGATCAGATGATCTGAGCTGGCTGCACCTGTCTTGATTATCACTGTCCTCCGTTCACATGTGCACATGCAGCCATAAAGTTCTCAGTTCTCAGCAAAGAGAAGGACACCGGGAACCTCGATTCTAATGTTTATTCAGAAGACGCAGACTCCACTGTGGGAGCCGAAGAGCACCGACCACAGCGCAGGCTACAGTTGCATGTCCCAGTGCTGCGGGCGCTGGAATTCTGTACTCCATGCTGTCAGCATTCATGTGAAGGGGACTTTACCCCGTACACAACAGATACCTCAAACTGTATGCAGCTTTTTGGACTCATTTTTAACCTAAATATGTGTCATTTTTGTTTCATTTATCGTTTTAATCTAATGGATTCATGCATCCGGGGGTTTCAGTCACAGTCCAGAGATATCACATGTGAGATAGCTCAGTATGTTCTCCGCTCTTAATATCTAAAACCCTGAACGGGCCGGTTGAAAAAAAAAACATGAGTGACCGTAATGCCCACTGTGGCTATGTGAGTGATCTGTGAATTGGAGAGGGATTTAAGAGAACAGAGAGGGGTTTGCCGGCGCTTTGAAAAAGAGATGCTGAAACGAGCAACCATAACAAAACCCATCGACAGGGGGACAACAGGCCTTCAGCAGATAGCAAACAATGGCACTGTGACAAAAGCCTCACAAAAGAAATGCTGTGTTTTTCCCCTCTTCATCCACAGTTTATCACCATCTTTACCTGTCACTTATCATATTTCTTTCCATAGCGTCAACTGAATAGTATTGAATGTATGACTCTCATTTACCTTTTTAACCATTTCAATGTGGATGAAATGAGAGACATATACATGAACTTAAGAGAGCCTGGGTACCTGGGGGGGGTCAAATAAAACAGTTTACGACTATGGTTTCCAGCACTGCACCGCTTTACATTGGAGTTGCTTTACGTTTTTGGTGGGCCGTTGATGGCGTCTCTGTCGCCTTGACAACATGACAACAAATGCTGTCAGTGTATGGCTGTGCCTGTGAAGGGCTGAAAATACTCTAGTATCATTTAAGGTCACAAACACAAAAAGCTTAATGGTTTAGTCTGAATTTCACAACTGGTTTTCATCACAAACTCTGCCTTCCAAATAATCTGGAAATTGTACAGATACTATACAGCTCAACATCATGACAATATTTAAAAAGAACAGCTTGAGACTGCGGTCCACACCAATTCACATGGGTCAAATGAGTCATATGAATTCTTATCATTTCTTGATGTAGGATTTTCTTTAAATTGTGAATCGTAATAAGATCAATTTCAAATTAAGAAGCACAGTGCAAATTATTCTTCTTCTTGAAACAGCCTTATTGTCAATTCAAAGTGATCCCTGTCAATGGGGCAAAAATAAAAAGGTGTCATACTAATCATTAAACATTTAGTTTATGTGTTTTAGAAAAAAATAAAACAAAAAAACTCTAAAGCACAACATGGCTGTCTCTGTTGTATTCACTGACTCTTTTTTTGTGGAGCATTAAATTAATTCAGGAAGCGCATGTTCATTCTGCCATCTGTTGTCCACCAGTGGAAGTGTATCAATAATCTACTTCAGCATGCTGAGCAACAACACCTGATCAGATATTATTCTGTATATTTTTTTATAACTAGAGTAGCTTAGATCTAGCAGCATTAACATGCAAGTTACAAAACCCCTGTGCCCATAAAGGCCTGTGGGTTACATACAAATGTAGATTACCAAAATTTAACCTCTAGGTAATCAGCTTTGACCTCAAGTATAACTAAAAATCTCTTGTTGCAAAGATTTTCAGTCTTCAGTTGTTTGAATTGTGTCAAATGCCATGAAAAACAGACACATTCAAATTTGAGAGTGTGTGAGAACATTTGAGGGTTTGTCTTTCGGCAGTCTTCCTGTTAAATTAGAAGTTTGAATGATTCTCAAATAATTTGGTTAGCAGTTTTTCCATGTTTTTTCTTTGAGACAGGTTTGCATATCAGGGTTAAAAATAAATATGCTTACGCTTGCCATAGGCATGATAGCATCAATGAAATGAAAACCCGCCGTTACATCCCGATGGGATTTGATACCTGAGATTCCAGTTCTTTTTCTTCTCAGTACATAGTACCAGGCTGAAAACGTTCTATCAAGCTTATAGCAGCTCTATTTAGAATGAGTTGCTGTTCTTGGTGCAGCTGTGTGTTTAGGTATGTTGTACATGAGAAAGAAACGTTTTCCGTTGGTTGTCTTCAATTAATGGCAAATCTGTAATAAACTGAATGAGTATATCATAAAATTAATCAGAACAAATGCTACTCTTAAACCTGGGCTCAGATGATGAATGGATGTCGACGTTCTTGGTCCGAATGTTTCATGTTCCCTTCATTCTGCTCTTTATAAGAGAGCTTTATCTCATGGTTTGCCTGGTTTCTGTTGACAGAGCCTCTCTGTGTGCGATGTAACGCTGCCTCCTGTTGGCTCTGTACTGCTCCAGCCTCTTGGCCTCCTCCAGGGGATCCTGCAGTACTCCCTCCCACCTCAGGCTCTCTCTGGCCTGGACGCTGGGGTCTCTCACATGAGCTACGGTCTCAACGCCTCCAGACCTCTGACTTGCTTTAAGGGGAGCGTGTGAATCCTTGTGGCATTTTTTGCTCTTCTGATCATTGCCTGTGCTCCGTCCTCTGTTCTTTTTACTGGTACCTCTGGGCTTGGGAGGAGTGCCCTGAGTCGTTATTGGGTCCTTAGGGGGCAGCATGGGGACTGGCACGATATCAGGAGGCAAACATCCAACCGAAGGTTTGTCTGCAGGGGGAAAGCATAAACAAGTAGAATCCTGCACATCAGAAAATAAGTTGGGTGAAAATAACCCAGGACTTCGGGACCAGGGGAATATTCTATTGTGACCCATTTAGCCCTTCAGGGAATCACACTACTTCTACTATCTTTTTTTAACGGGCAAAGAGATACATTAAGATGGTTCAGTCTTTTCTCCTTTATTCTTCCAAAAATCTGGTCAACTAGAGAAGTTCTGGGCCTTTCGGGATTATCAATTTCTCCCAGTTTGTATCTGTGTTTACTACAACATTACTCTTGTTAGATATTTTCATTTCCTTTTAATGAGCAGAGTAGAGAGTCTCATTTTCAATCCTCCACATCTGAATGTTTTTTGTTGTAAGTGTGTGTACACATATCGCATATTCTGTGTGATATTTAAATGTGTACAGGTTCTTCTTCATGCAAACATTTTTAAATACTGGCAATTGGACTCATAGTCACTTTCATTGATGTTGGATGCAGGACTTGTCTTCATAAGAAACTGAACCACTATTTGAGTGTGTGCTTTAATACCTTTATTTTCTGGGGCACGAGCAGATGTTGCTTTCTTTCTTTTCGTCTTTTTCTTCTTTCTGTGGTCAGAGACTCCAGGCGGTTGGAGCGGCTGGCAGGTTGTGTCCTCTGGCATGACGATGCTAATTTAAAAAAGGAAGGAAGGAAAGTCTATTAACACAGGTTTAACATAAAATAACACCTGGTTCTTGCTGCATGAACAGTCAGGTCAAAAGAGGGAGACGTAGAAAACTTCCGTTTACTCACTCCAGAGGTGGCTGTACACAAGAACGTCAGCTTTAATATCCAAACAAATCACTTTACTGGTTTGCGTTTCTCTTTTTAAAATACAGCCTTATATACTCCACGAAACTAATTAATGGTAACGGTGAAAAAGCTGCCTGCTACTTTCCTTTTTGTTCCGGAACAAACATCTCCTCAATCACACTTGACTGCGGACCGTTGCTTGGCGACGCGTTACCACGGTGACAGGACACCCCCCCTCAGATAAGAGAATTGTTTTGGTAACAAACTGGTAACCAGCCTGTACAAAGTATTTTGCATTTTGCATGTTTGCATCTTGTGATCTTTCAAATGAGGAATACCACCGGATGTGAAAAACGGTTTTTACGTATCAGGTCAAACTCTATTAGGATCTTGTCAATGTTTTAACAGCGTGTTCTTCTTCTCTGTCAGAATTGGACATAAGTAGTTAAAGGATACATTTCCTGTACAATAAGGGAAACTACTGACCCCGACGTGATTTGAACACGCAACCTTTTGATCTGGAGTCAGACGCGCTACCGTTGCGCCACGAGGTCTCTGGTCACCCATAAAAATACAGAAGTTATGGACCTACAGCTGTCGCTGTTTAACTGGGACTGACCAATGGAAATACGGATATATCATCTGGACTCTTTATGGATTTTTTTTTTCAACAGACCAAACTGCGCTCAAGAGATTGATTTCAAACAAGAGCGAACTTCTGGGTTATTTTTCAGCAGCTGTTTTATCAATTTGGGCAATCTTGTTGTCTTTCAGCTGCTGAAGATGACAGAAAAACACATTAAAAAAATGACCAATAAGAAAGAAATGTTTGTGGATCACCTCGTGGATCACATGGAGATCTAATGAATATTTAATCAAACCTACTTATCAATCCTTATGTTTAAAAAAAAAAATCTCCATCAAACTTGGTAAAAGAAACACAAAAACCCAGGTTAGGCTCTGAGCTGATGTGGACAGAATATTAAAGGCAAAGCTATGACTTTTTAAACTGTTGCACCAGACAACTTCTACACTGTGCGGCATGAAGTCTTTCAGGGCGTTTCAGTCCTGTTTCTGTTATCACAGTTCTCAGCTCTGTAAATGTTTTACAAGAATACACAGACAGAGACAATCAGACGGATATTTTTAATAAAAGAGAGCCTGTCCTCAAAGTTCTTTTAAAAGTATCACACCCCTACTTCCCATTCTAATGGTAAAAGTGATCCTGTCTGATTCTGTGTTCTGACTGCCATCAGAGCTCACATGCACCACTGCTAAATATAACGCCGTGTCAAGAGCTCAAACAAGTCTGTCCTGCTTCTGCATTTCCCACATATCTTAACTTTACCAGAAGCTGCTACAGGAAGAAATAGGATAGATCCTCATGCTGAGTCAGAGTGGACACGTAGCATTTATCCACCCAGGAGCGACAAAGTTCACCGCAAGATGCCGATACAACACAATTGTCTCTGGAGCACTCCTTCTTAAAATCAACTTAGGTAACTGCAGGGAATCCATAATTGCAAAATCATCATTTGCAAGCAAACCGTGCAGATAATTAGTCATGGAAACGTATTCAAATTGTACACAAAAATCCTGACCCATAATTTGTATTCTGCTTGACTAGGTCGTATGATTTATCTGCATTGTAAACCACGCCTTAATCACATCTAGTTCTGACAAGCCTGCAGGTCACAGTTAGTGGTGGGGGAAGAAGTGACTTGCATACTTCTCCGTCTGGGGAGAACATCAATATGCAAACAGATCTTAAACTGCAGTAAGTGCCACGGGTTCGGCGAGCAGGGCCACTGTCAACAACAGTTTGACGGTTCTTGCGCGCATGACAGTGCAGATTTTATTTGGAGAGACCTACACATTAAATAAATCCAGTTCAGTAAATATCAGTTCAGTTAAGGTGAAGGTTTTAAAGGTGGGGAGGGTTTAACCTAACTGCTATCCCTCCAGGCACTCCAGATATTTTCAGAGAGAAATTAGATCATCTTACAGGCTGAAGTAGGTTATTCTCTGTTAAAAGTATTGAATAACTGACTAAGAGTACAGCTTATTCTCTGGACTGATTTGTACATGAAATTAGCCAATGTTATATAATTATTTTTCCCCACGAGCCCTAAACAATAGATCTCCACTGTAGGCTATGTAAAAACAGAAAGTTCACATGAAGAGGCAATAAGCAACTTTTAACACATAACAACACTGTGGGTGTTCCAGTGGATCATCGGTCCTTTGCGTTCTATACTAAACTTAAGTAAAGCGGCGTATAGAAAATTATTAATGATTTCCTCCTCCGCAAACACCTAAAAAGGACTGTGCGTGACTCAGAAGGCAGTGAAGGTTACAGAGACAGCAGCGAGCAGAGTGATCGCTGGCTCCACATAAACAGCATGTCGGGGGCTGTCAAAGTCTCACAGGAAGAGCAAGAAATGGTCACAGACGATTTGTGTATTCGCTCAAAAAAAAAAAAAAAAAAAAAAAAAAATCCTATAAAATCAAAGCGAGGTAGGCCTCTCCTGGGAAAGACGGGGGCTGGCAGGTTGGGCCTTGCGTGCGTTGGCTGTGGGTGCCCGCTGGTGTGTCAGGTGACGGTGAGGAAGCAGGTTTTTTAAACTGCTGCAACCTTAAAGCTGCAGAGTGACAAGCCCAGGTTCAGAGGAGAGAGGCAGAAAAAGGAGACTGGCCTTCCAGTCCTTGCTGTGTGTGTCTGTTTGCGTCAGTGCTGAGAGGGTAACAAGTTCATCTCAGCCTGCTGCGTCTCCGGAGATTAATTGCTTACAGTTTCTTGAAAGCACAACATCGCGACTTTTGTGCAATTTGTGCAGGATCAAAATGAAACATTGAGCAATGTCAGTAAACTTGAGCTTAATCTGGTTGAATGTTGACAGGTTGTTGATTCTTTTGAATGCTTTCAGCGGCGTTAGTTTAGAGGCAAATTTGCTTTCGGGTTTTACATTTAAATGCTAATTGCAGCCAAAGAACCCAGATGTGACTGTATCTGACCACTTCCACTGTCTCGACCAAACTTGCCCCAAAAAAAGAGGAAAAAAACTGGGATCACAAAAGATTCAAAGTTCGAAGGTGCTACTGTGAAAGACCTCTCACAGTAAAGTAATTAACCCATATATCAGGCACAATGGTCCCACGGCTTGAACAGAGTTGATGGCCAAAGCCTCACCAAAAGCGTAATGTTTTGCGGGAAGCTTCATATTCGTCCAAAACAAAGTTGTCTAATATTAACTGAACTCGTGATGGGGACTTGTGGACAGGTTAAGAGACCTTAACATGGCTGGTTGATATGGTGGAATTCTTAAGTTATCATACAGTGACATAGTTTAAATAATTCTCTTTTAGAAACTTTAACTATGCTGGCTTTTCCGACACCATCTTATAACAACTGGGTGGTTCATGGAAAAAAAAAACGATGATTAGTTTGAATGAGCTCAAATGGGAAGTGCTGCTTATCATTTCTGGCTTTTTGTGCAAGACAAAAAGCACTCTTCATGAATTGCCTTACATCCTCGTTTGTAGGCCATGCATCTCTTCCTTCATCCAACAGCTTTTTGATGTAAAACATTAGTTCAGTATCTACAGGGGCCACTTCAACATGCCCAAGCTAAAAAATGAGCTGCTAAAACCCTCCACACTAAAAAGATGATCAGTTATGAGTTGCGTCAATGCAGAGCACTGGTCTCCAAAACATTTTCATTGAAGGATGTGACCTGCCTTTTTCTGCCTCTCTCAGACAAGTATGTTTAGTTTTTGTTTCTTTAATTAAGTTTCCCAAGAACAGCACTTTTAAAGTAAGTGTTTATATGACCGAAATTTAGCAGAATCACAGTTTATAATAAGCCGATAGGAACTGAATAACTCCTACACGTGTGTTTTCCCTCGGTCTCAATATGGCCTGAGCACTCTGCACAAGTATTATTTAGCCTTTTTTTCCCCTTCATCTTCAACTCTTGAGAGAATTTGAATTCAGCTGGATTTAAAGGAAAAGTCCTCTAATTCGCATGTTTGTTTTTATCTACTGACGAAATGCATTTGCAACTGTGATTGAAAATCGGTCTATTAGTGGTCACTTGAAGGATTTCCAGTCTTTACTCGAATAAAAATTTCCAATTTTACAAACACTGGGTCATCAGACAA